CTCATCCATGGTGAGTTTGGGGACCCCAGGGCAGGGAGGGACCCCCGCATCACTAGGGCCCTCTGCTCCCTGCTCTGCTAAGCTGTGTCCTTTACCTGCAACAGGCGCTCACGGAGTTCTTGTCCTGCCCCTCAGGGACATGGCATCTCCTCCCTGTCATCCCCCGGGCCTGCTTAGGGGATACCTAAGGCTAAGGATGGTGCCATGGTGCCCGGTCCTTGGCGGGGGTGGCATTTGCCTGTGTGTTTGGGCAGTGCTGGACGTAGCAGCCTGGGTGCGTGAGGGAACGGGGGTCCCACGCGCCCTGGGGCGGCAGGGCACCGGCAGTGGCCTCCCTGCCCCGCGTTGCTGCAGGTGCCACGGCCTCCAGGCGTGAGCCCGTGGGCAGAGGGAGCTCCATGGGTGGGTGTCCTGGTCCCTCGCCTCCATACACACCAAAGGCACCCCTGAATGTCCCCGCTGAGTGCTGGGTGGAGCTTGTGGTGGGGACATGGAGGTGTCCCCAAGGTGCCTTTGAAGGGCACTGCCCTCTCTCTTCTCCTCTTGAGGCCAAGGTGTGGCCTGGGGGAATGGCAGGGGCACGGGGTGCTGGGAGAGGGGAACGGGAAGCACCGCAAGGGCGCGGGCACCTCATGAGACCAGCCCTGCAGGGTGGGAGCGCTGCCCGCTTGCCGTGTGGTGCCACACTTCTGGGTGCAAAAAGCCCATGGTGGCCCAGGGCTCCAGCAGCTGAGGCCCTGGGGGGCTCGAGGTTGTGCAGGGCTGCAGGAGAAGCAAGTGGAGGTAGTGGCCACCAGGGCTCCTTGTATGGCCCGGCACACCGTGCCCCATGGCCATCTGCCCGCTGGGTCATTGCCCAGCCTAGTTGCGTCCCAGGGGCCTGCCTCGGGACTATGTTTAGCTTGGTCCCTTGTTGAAGCTGGCACTGAGGACGCTTTAGGAAGAGACTCAGCCTCCCCTTCCCACGGTTCCCACGGCGCCCGGGCAGTGCTGGGCCGTCCCCTTGCCCGAGCTGGAAGATGCCGGGTGGCCGGGCAGGCAGGGGAGCGGGGCGGCTGCTGGAGCGGTGACTGCTCCCACCTTCCCCAGAGCCAGGCGTGCTTGGAGCCGGACCCTCCTTCCCTGCCATCCCCCCTCGGGGGGGTGCTGGCCTGGGGGGACAGGAAGCCCTGTAGGAAGTGACTTCAGCCCCGGTTCCTCGGCCTGGCTTCCTCCCCATTCTTGTCCTCTCCCGTTGTTGCTCTTGGCAGGAGGAACGTGCCCGTTCTCCGGCCCCATTCCTGGCACATGGCCAAGCTCTCCGAGCTCCATCCCGACGCCACTGCCATGCACTGCCCTGCCGACACCTTCAGCCTCTCCTGGCCCTCGGGGTGTGATGTCAGGTGAGCCCGTGGGGCGGCCGTGGGACGCGGGAACAGGGGAGGACAAGGGGTCTTGAGCCGCTGCAGCACGGTGGGGTGGGGAGCCCGGGGCACTCAGTCTCCCTCTCCCAGCTCCAGAGCCTTTATGGCCTGGAGATGCAGGAGCGGTGGGGCCCAGGCCCTGGGTCGCTTGTGGATGCCCCTCTGCACCCTGTCCCCCTGGTATCGGCTCCTGGGCTCGCCGTTCCCCACAGGAAGGGGTGGTGGCAGACACAGGAGCCAGGGAGAGGCTGATGAATCCCAGCGCTCCCGCTGTCCGGAGCCGGGCAGCCCCTGGGCCCGGGC